CCCTTGAGTCCACAGGCTGACACTCTATCCACTGAGCCAAACTGGTTAGGGCAAAGCCACTTTTTATCGCCAGTCACAATTCAATGCAAAAAAGACTTTCTTTCATGCCGTTGAAACAATATTTTACTGATGACTTTTCAGTTTTCCATTGGTCTTTCATTCAGTTGATGTGGCACCCATTTTCCATCCTTTAAAATCTTTCCCATTGCTTGTAAACGATCGAAAATTGTTTGCTGAGCAACGTTTACTCTTTCTGCAAGTTGTTTTTGAGTTTTGACACACATCTTCATCCAATAATGCTTTAATTGTTGGTCTTCACACTTTTTTGGTTGATCTTGACGTCTTGGTCTTTCACATCGAAATCACTTTTAAAGCATTTAAACCAGCATTCACAAGTATCTTGAGATGGAGTATGTTCACCATAACCTTCCCGAAGTATTCAGCAGCACTTTTCTTCAAAATAAAGTAATGAATTAAAACTCCCCGCAAATGCTTTTTTTTGGGGGGGGGGGGGGGGAGGCACGAAATTTGACATTTTTAAGCGTAAAAACATCTATGATGTTAACACCTTCAGAAAATTTGACATATGAAGTTTTGAAGCTTGCTATCACTACAACAAAATAGCATACATATCAAATCGCATATATATCAATATCTGTGCAACTCCATCTATTGAAAAAAATCTGCATTATTAACCGGTACACCTAGTAAAAGGTCTGCTGCAGTACTGATACAGTTGCTGGGAGATGGGGCCTCTATAATAGGGGATCTGTGGGACCATTGAGCATGGAATAGCTTGAACATGGCTATTAGCTCCGTAGAACAATAGTTTGACTTATTCACATGTTTTTTCTTGTCCCTTTTTTGGTGACTAATAAGAATAGGAAAAGTTATCTCCGTAGTGTTGGGTCCAGCTCCCAGTTGTCCCTCGCAGGGTGAAGAGGCTAAAGGGCTCTTTGTGCTGTTTACTTCTTGCCCAAATGGTCCTCAGTGAACTAGAGGAGACTCTTTAAGAAGTTAAGGAAAGGCCGAGGCCGGTTTGGCTCGGTGGATGGAGCGTCGGCCTGCGGACTGAGGGGTCCCGGGTTCGATTCCGGTCAAGGGCATGTACCTGGGTTGCGCACATCCCCGGTGGGGGGTGTGCGGGGGGCGGCTGATCGATGTTTCTCTCTCATCGATGTTTCTAACTCTCTCTCTCTCTCTCTCTTTCTCTCTGTAAGAAATCAATAAAATATATTTAAAAAAAAAAAAAAAGAAGTTAAGGAAAGGAGTTATGACAGACACTCTGATTAACAAGTTGAGGTGTTCTGCCTTTGCTTTAGGGATAGTTTGCCTGTGTTCTCTGGATGTAGCTTTAGAGATATATATATAGATAGATATATAGATATAGATATATAGGTATAGATAGATATAGATATATATATCTTTATTGTTGAAAGTATTATAGATGTCCCCCCTCTCCCCCTCTCATTGACCCCCTGCACTCTGTTCCCACCACCTTTTCAGGCTTTCACCTTAGATTTATTCTTTTTTATTTATTTTATTTTGTTAATCCTCACCCGAGGATATTTTTCCATTGATTTTTTTTAGAGAGAGTGGAAGGGAGAGGGAGGGACAAAGAAACATTGATGTAAGAGAGACATATCGATTGGTTGTCTCCTGCATGCACCCCAACCAGGGCTGGGGAACCTGCAACCAAGGTATGTGCCCTTGACTGGAATCGAACCCGGGACCCTTCAGTCCAAGGGCCGATGCTTTATCCACTGAGCAAACCAGCTAAGGTGGATTGATTCTTTTAAAAATAACCTTTTTCTGAAGGGTCACTTCTCTTTTCAATCCTTGGTACTGCCACAACAGAAAGAGGGACACTAAAATCTAAAAAAAGCCTCAAGCCCTACTGAACTCCCATCCTAGGCATGTAGCTTTTTGGAATTTATACAGTATCACTGGTTCAAATGATTTTCAGAGCAACTAGACAGTAAGACAATATTTACTAGAAAAGGTGCTTCTGGCCTTTTGGCAAGGGGGAGGGAGGTGTGGACTTGCTCCAGGTTTAGTTTGTATGTGTGTGATCCTTTTAGTTTGCAGTGCTTTCACATTCATTTTATCACAAAATAACCCTGTTGAGTTGTGTAGTCAGTAATAACACCACATTACAGATGGGGAAACTGGGGTTTATTTTGACTATCTCATTTTTTTTTTTTTAATATATTTTATTGATTTTTTACAGAGAGGAAGGGAGAGAGATAGAGAGCCAGAAACATCGATGAGAGAGAAACACCGATCAGCTGCCTCCCGCACATCCCCCACTGGGGACGTACCCGCAACCCAGGCACATGCCCCTGACCAGAACCGAACCCGGGACCCTTGAGTCCCCAGGCCGACGCTCCATCCACTGAGCCAAACCGGCCCCGGCTTGACTATCTCATTTTTATCTTCAAAGTCATCTCATGCAGAAAAGTTATATCTCCTTGTCTAACCCCTTATAGCTAGTTAGCCCAGTAGTCACACCTTGTCCATAGGGCAGCAGTTCTCAACCTGTGGGTCGCGACCCCTTTGGCGGTTGAACGACCCTTTCAAAGGGGTCGCCTCGACCATCCTGCATATCAGATATTTACATTAAGATTCATAACAATAGCAACATTATAGTTATGAAGTAGCAACGAAAATAATTTTATGGTTGGGTCACAACATGAGGAACTGTATTTAAAGGGCCAGAAGGTTGAGAACCACTGCCATAGGGGTTATGTTCCATGACTCCCAGTGGATGCCCAAAACCACAAATAGTACTGAACCCTATGTTTTTCTCTATACATACATACCTGAGTAATTTATAAATTACTGACAGTAATAGATTAATAATAACTAATAATGCCGAAACCGGTTTGGCTCAGTGGATGGAGCGTCGGCCTGTGGACTGAAGGGTCCCAGGTTCGATTCCGGTCAAGGGCATGTACCTGGGTTGCGGGCACATCCCCAGTAGGAGATGTGCAGGAGGCAGCTGATTGATGTTTCTCTCTCATCGATGTTTCTAACTCTCTCTCTCTCTCCCTTCCTCTCTGTAAAAAATCAATAAAATATTAAAAAATAATAATAATAACTAATAATAAAACAATTATAACAATATCCTATATAATAAAGAGCGAATATGCTAATTAGACCAAACAGCAGAACGCAGAACGACCTTCTGGAACGACCAGTGGGAGGCGGTGGGGCCGTGAGGGCCGAGCCCCTTGCACAAATTTCATGCATCGGGTCTCTAGTACTGTAATAAAAGTTGTGTGAATGTGGTCTGTCTCAAAATATTTATTGTGCTATACTTAAACCTTCTCACCTAAAGGAAGCACTTTATGGCTTCTGTTTAACATATCCAATTTGCCATCATCACTACGCTATGTTTTGGGACTATTATTAAGTAAAATGAGGGTTACTTGAGCACAAGCACTGCGAAATCTCAACTGTGGACCTGATAACTCAGCCAACTAAGTGACTAACAGTGTGGATACATACACTGGACAAAGGGACGATTCACATCCCAGTGGGATGAAGCAAGATAATGCGGCCTTTAAACCTTATGAATTATTGCCTGGCCAGTGTGGCTCCGTGGGTGAGTGTCAACTTATGAACCAAGAGGTCACACGGTTCGATTCCCGGTCAGGGCACATGCCAGGTTTGCAGGCTCGATCCCCAGTGGGGGGCGTGCAGGAGGCAGCCGATCGGTGATTCTCTCTCATTGATATTTCTATCACTTCCTTTCCCTACCTCTCAAATTAATAAAAATATACTAGGAAAAAAAAAACATGAAATGTTGATTTCTGGAATTTTCCATTTAGCTTTTTCAGACCACGGTTAACTGAAACCATGGAAAGCAAAACCAGGGATAGGTGCTATGTATTTTAATTGGTTTTTTAAAGGCAGTGTTGAACTTTTTGTTGCAGGTCAGCAATCTTCTCATAGAAAGCTGTTTCTCTTTGGGGGGAAAAAACCCTATCTCTAAACATATTAATAGGCTAGCTACGCTATTTGTCTTTGTAGTAAAGATTATAATATAGCCTTTATTTTTATGTTTTACTGATTGTAGAGAGAGGAAGGGGGAGGGAGAGGGAGAAGGAAAAACATTGATGTGAGAGAGAAACATTGATCAGTTATCTCCCACACATGCCCCAAACCAAAACGTACATATGTGCCCTGATGGGGAATAAAACCTACAGCCTTCTTGAATCTCAGGTCCATCTTTCTGGATAATTTTCTTCCTGAAGTGTATCTTTAAAAATCCTTTTGGGTTCAGGTGTATAGGCAATAAACTGTCATCTTTTGTTTGTCTGAAATGTCTTCATTTCACCTCCTTTAAGATATTTTTTCACCTAGTACACAACTCTAGCTTAATTCTCTCAGCACTTTGAAGATGATTTTCCAGTTTCCATTACTGTTGCTGAGTAGCCTCCTGTCGGTTGTCACTCTGAGGATGTTCTGTCTGTGTGCTTTTTCCAGGAGCATTTGAGGGAGTGTTCCATAGTCAGTCTTGGCCTGTGGGCGCTCCTAGGCTGCCTGGAAAGGTTGGAAGTGTTGCCAAAACACTACTAGGTGCCTGATTTTACCAGCAGGGCTAAGTAATCGATCAGTTCCCTCATTTGCTTTTCTCAGGGCCACTCAGAATTATTAAGAGCTAGATTGGGATGGACTAGGTACTCTGTAACAGCCCTTCTGACCTTTCCTCTGTGCCTACAAAGCCCAGCCCTGGAACCCAAATGACGGGAGAGAGTGTGTCTTCAGGGGGTGATGCTAAAGAAGCTCTGGATGCAAAAAGCAGAGCTAAACCCAATGGCTGCCTCCAGACTTGGTTAACTCCTTCCAAGCTATTCAGGGCCTTTCGCAGCTTTTTTTATGCCAAACAGTCCTTAGAGGCTAAGATGAATACAGGTTGAGGCACTGTCACTTCTTGTTAATACATAGGAGGGAGGAGTAACTATTGCATAAATTTTTGTGTTTTTTTTTTGCAGAATGCATCCTGTCTTGTTCTTGCTGCCCGGCATGCTAGTGCTTCCTCCGCGGTAAGTTTTGGGGGGAAAAAGACTGAGAATCATTGAGGCAGCCTGATCCTGGGATAGGGTTGGGGGTGGTTTGACTACCACCCAGATTCATCATTATTCTAATCTTCTGGAGGTGTTTGTTATTATTGTTATAACTATTATTTTAAGAAGTCATTTATTCAATAGTGTAGTGAGATGAGAATATAAAATGTTTTTGCCTAATCTTTTAAAAAATTTACTGTTTTTATTGATTTCAGAGAGGAAGGGAGAAAGAGAGAGTAACATCAATGATGAAAGAGAGAATCATTGATGGGCTGCCTCCTGCACAACCCCTACTGGGGATTGAGCCTGCAATTGGGCATGTGCCCTGACCAGAAATTGAACCGCAACCTCCTGGTTCATAGGTCAACACTCAACCACTGAGCTTGCCAGCCGGGCATGCCTAATCTTTTTTTAAAAAAATTGCTAAAATATACATATCATAAAATTTGCCATTTTAACCATTTTTAAGTGTATTAGCTCAGTGGTAGTAAGTACATTCACATTATTGCACAGCCATCAGCACTGTCCATCCCCAGAACTTTTTCATGTTCCCAAATTGAAATTCTATATCCATTAAAACAACTCCCTATTCTCCTTTCCCTCTGCCTAGTTCTTTTAATTGGGTTTTAGAAAGACAGGAAGGGGGAGAGAGAGAGGAGAGAGAGAGGGAGGGAGGGAGAGAGAGAGAGAGAGAGAGAGAGAGAGAGAGAGAGAGAGAGACATCGATTTGTTATTCCACTTATGCATTCATTGGTTGATGGCTTCTATGTGCCCTGACGGGATCAAACCCAAAACCTTGGCATATCAAGACAACGCTCTGACCAACTGAGCCACCCTGCCAGAGCTCCACCTAATTCTTTTAACCTCATATGAAGAGTAGTTGACCAGTCTTCCCTGGCAGGTAGAGAAAACCAAGTTAAGAAAAAGTCTTCATATACCTACTTTGCAGGTAATGTAGTCAGCATTTTGACCGTAACTTAGCCTATTTCTCTTTTTAGAATTTGAAAGATGTGTTGGCTGACCTAATACCGAAGGAGCAGGCCAGAGTTAAGGCCTTCAGGCAGCAACATGGAAAGACAGTGGTGGGCCAAATCACTGTGGACATGGTAAGGGTTGTGGGAATTTGGCCGGAAAAGTAGCTCTGTAATGTGCTTTAGCAAAAGTGTTGTTCTCTTCACTGACTATTCAAAAGCATTCTGTTCTATATAAGGAAATGTTGGTGCTTAATGATTTTTATTAGAAATTAGACTTATTTTCTTTAGATTTAATAGTTGAGCCTAACCTAATTCACCTATGGGAGGCATGAATGAAATTTCTGTTTCTCTTTCCAACACCCTAGGTTTTGGAGCCAGTGCTCTCTGTCTTTGAGTCGACGTTGTACCGACCATCCAGGCCCTCTAGAACAGCTTTAGGATGGCTTCTCTTCTAGCCCTAAGAGTCTGAGCAGCTCAGATGATAATTCCACAGCAGTATTTAGCCATTAGTCTTTTATCCCCTTCCCCTATAGTAGATCCCATTCTGTTTACTTTGGTTGTAACAGTGGGCATGAGAAAAAATAAAATTCAACAGGAAAAGGAAGCAAACAGAGGCAGAAACATCAAATAAAGATAGTTATTTCTCAATTTAAAAATTTCATTTCCAACGTTAGTAGGTTCCCTTGCAAAGTTCCATACTGTAATAAGTTAACTCATTGGAAATCATCTCTCCCAAATGAAGCCTTGTGAGTCAGAGATAAATGACCTCTCCCAGATCCCACTAACAAGCTCTAGCCTGAATTATTCTGACTATCGGTTGCATCCTCTTCTTTTCTTTAGATGTATGGTGGCATGAGAGGCATGAAGGGATTGGTATACGAAACATCAGTTCTTGATCCTGATGAGGTAAGAGACCTTCACGTTAATCACTAATAATTATTGTGTTTACTGACTGTTGTGCACACCGTGTTTTAGACCACTAAGGGTAAGGAGAACAAAATAAAGCACCTTCCTTTATATTTTGGAAGCTTGAAAATAGGTATATATGGAATAACTGAAAAATAAGTTTACCTTTTTTTTTTTTTAAATATACTTTTATTGATTTCAGAGAGGAAGGAAGAGGGAGAGAGAGAGAGAGAGAGAGAAACATCCATGATGAGAGAATCATTGACCAGCTGCCCCCTGCAAGTCCCCCACTGGGGATCGAGCCCACAATCCGGGCACGTGCCCTTGACCGGAATTGAACCTGGGACCTTCCACTTCACAGGCCAACGCTCTATCCACTGAGCCAAACCAGCTAGGGCAAGTTTAGCTTTATTTTTTTTTTTTTTAATATATTTTATTGATTTTCTACAGAGAGGAAGGGAGAAGGATAGAGAGTTAGAAACATCGATGAGAGAGAAACATCGATCAGTTGCCTCCTGCGCATCCCCCACTGGGGATGTGCCCGCAACCAAGGTACATGCCCTTGACCGGAATCGAACCTGGGACCCTTGAGTCCGCAGGCTGAAGCTCTCTCTATCCACTGAGCCAAACCGGTCAGGGCGAGTTTACCTTTTTAATAAACCAGCTAGTAAAAGTACAAAGCAGAAGTAAGTTTTATGAAGATTTAAGTTTTAAAAGTTCTACTCTAATTTGTTGAAATGTCTGATAAGAGTAGGACCAGTCAATTATTTCCAGGCTAATACATTTAAGTTGTATAACATTCTCACTCTTCTCCTTCAAGGGCATCCGTTTCCGTGGCTACAGTATCCCTGAATGTCAGAAACAGCTGCCCAAGGCTAAGGGTGGGGAAGAACCCCTGCCGGAGGGCTTATTTTGGCTGCTGGTAACTGGGAAAATCCCAACAGAGGAACAGGTAAAGCAGGAGGACATTGGCCTTTCTCATTCCCCTCCTTGGCTTTTCTCTAATTTCTAACACTTAATCCTGATCTGGCTGTTGGTGGTAGTTTACAGAGATGTACAGTGAACGGGAGGAATCAGAGCAGAGTTCTGCGTATAAGGGGATTGGGTTGAATTTGCTTGTATTTTCTTACTCATATGTCACTGTCTTTTTCTCTTCTTTTTCCTTGCCTTGTTGAGCAATGTATCCTTTTTTACAGGTGTCGTGGCTCTCAAAAGAATGGGCAAAGAGGGCAGCTCTGCCTTCCCATGTGGTCACCATGCTGGACAACTTTCCCAACAATCTACACCCCATGTCTCAGCTCAGTGCAGCCATTACAGCCCTCAATAGTGAAAGCAACTTTGCCCGAGCATATGCAGAGGGTATCAGCCGAACCAAGTACTGGGAGGTAGGTAATTTTGGTGCAGTGATTGATGTGTGATGGGGATTCAGAGAGTAGAATGTGAAGGAAGGAAAAGAATATAGAATCTTTAGGAAAATTTACTCCTGAGTTATGCCAAAAACATATTTAACTATTTTTTATTGTGTCTTGCTTTTTGTCTTTGGGTATATGGAGCATGCTTTCTATCACCAAAGTTGTTAGTTTGTTTAGGGTGGTATAGATGTAAAAAAGAAACTATAATTCTGTAAAACCCTGTTGAAATACGTACACAGGGCTGTTGGAACATTGAAAAGGATGTGACTTTGTCTACACCAAGGTTATGCATTTGCTCTCCAGTCAGGGCACATGAAAGAATCAACCAGCCCGGCCAGTGTTGCTCAGTTATTGAGAATCGACCCATGAACCAGGAGGTCATGGTTCGAATCCCCATCAGGGCACATACCTGGGTTGCTGGCTCAATCCCCCAGTAGGGGCATGCAGAAGGCAGCCAATCAATGATTCTCTCATCTTTTTTTTTTTTTTAACTGATTTCAGAGAGGAAGGGAGAGGGAGAGAGAGAAACATCAATGATGAGAGAGAATCATCGATCGGCTGCCTCCTGCACACCCCCTACTGAGTATCAAGCCTGCAACCCAGGCATGTGCTCCTGACCAGAATCAAGCCTGGGACCCTTCACGCCACAGGCCAACACTCTATCCACTGAGCCAAACCAGCCAGGGCTCTCTCTCATCGTTGACGTTTTCTTTCTCCCCCTCTCCCTTCCTCTCTCTGAAATCAATAAAAAGTTCTTTAAAATAAAAATATTACAATTTTTTTAAAAAATAGAACCAACCAATAATGCATAGATAAGTGGATCAACAAATTGATGTTTCTCTTTCACTTCTCTCTCAAATCAATTTAACTACAGGGTCCCTGAGGAAGAATTCATAGTGCAGTCTCACACTAAATTCAAATGGTCCCATGTCTTCCTCTTCAAATGAGAATCTTGAGAATGGCAACTAAGGCAACTCTAGAGTCTGGGACAGGGGTGGGCAAACTTTTTGACTCGAGGGCCACAATGGGCTCTTAAACTGGACCGGAGGGCCGGAACAAAAGTATGGATGGAGTGTTTGTGTGAATTAATATAAATTCAAAGTAAACATCATTACATAAAAGGGTACGGTCTTTTTTTTTTTTTTAGTTTTATTCATTTCAAATGGGCCGAATCCGGCCTGCGGGCCGTAGTTTGCCCACGGCTGGTCTGGGAGGACTGATGCCAATCAGCCACAGTTCTGAACTAGCCCACTCAAGATACCTGTCAGGAGTGGGAGGGTAGTTCGTATCCCAGAAGATCCAGGATTCTGAGCTTTATTTTCTGAAAATGAAATATTTGTACTCTGTAGTTGTAGTAGAAGAAGACTACTGTGCCTTGTCCCAATACAGAATATCTAATTCCTTCCATCCTCTTTGCATATACTCATAAACACTGGGTAAAGTACAAGATTTCTGGTTAAGTTTACAGGAGCACATCTCATTTTCTTTTGTTTCTTATTCAGAGACAGGTAATGTAGGAACACAAGAGTTCCCTTTTGCAAAACAGGTATACTAAGTGATTTTGATAATAAGATGCTAACCACCAAGTGGTCCTGGAAGAGTTTACTATGATGCAAGACACAGAATAGTCTGTGGGCCATACCGTGGTCCACTAGTCTGATGAAATCCCCTTGGGATTTTGTCAAATCCTGCTTCATTTGGTTGGTCAATATTTATTTGATGCCAACTGTGTATAGAGAATTATGTTTGCTGTTGGGGGAAGGAGGGAGGGAGAGTTTGCAGTTGATATTAGTCTGTTTGGCATTGAGGAGGAGGAGGGTATTGGAGTGGCACAGAATATACACATTCACAAGCACTTAAAGCATTTATAGAGCTGCACATCAGTAGATTCAGAAAGCTATATAACCTGAATATATTGCTTTTCATTTCCCCCCTTTTTTTTTAATTAAATTTATTGGGGTAATGTTGGTTAATAAAATTATATAGGTTTCAGGTCTATAATTCTAAATTATATCATCCGTATATTATATTGTTTGTTTACCACCCCAAGTCAAGTTTCCTTCCTCATTTTTTCTTTTTAAATGCTATTCAGGTGATTGTTATCTGTGTGGGTCACCATAACACAAAAGATTAAATCAAGACCTGCAGTTTGCCAAAACCAGTTTGGCTCAGTGGATAAAGCGTCGGCTTGTGGACTGAAAGGTCCCAGGTTCGATTCGGGTCAAGGGCATGTACCTGGGTTGCGGGCACATCCCCAGTAGATGTGCAGGAGGCAGCTGATCGATGTTTCTCTCTCATCGATGTTTCTAACTCTCTGTCTCTCTCCCTTCCTCTCTGTAAAAAATCAATAAAATATATTTTAAAAAAAGACAGAAAAAAAAAAGACCTGCAGTTCCTTAGCCAGTTTGGCTTAACGGATAGAGCGTCGGCCTTCGGACTGAATGGTCCTAGGTTGAATTCTGGTCAAGGGCATGTGCCGGGTTGGGGCATGCAGGAGGCAGCCAATCGATTATTCTCTCTCACTGATGTTTCTGTCTCTTTCTCCCTCTCCCTTTGTCTCAGAAATCAATCAATCAATATATATATATGTATTTTTTTTTTAAGCTAAAAAAGACCTATAGTTCTTCGAAACTCATCTTTTAGAAACTTACCACCCAGAAGTGAGTTTCTACTTGATTGTCATGAGGAGAGAACAGCTTCTACTTTTTTTTTTTTAATCAATCAGCTGCCTCCTGCACACCTCCTACTGGGGATGTGCCCGAAACCAAGGGTACATGCCCTTGATGGGAATCGAACCTGGAACCCTCCAGTCCGCAGGCCGATGCTCTATCCACTGAGCCAAACCAGTTAGGGCCAGCTTCTACTTTTTAATGGATTCCTACAAGACACTCCCCAGGCATCCAAACATGCTGCATTGCTTCACGCTGTCCTTTGTTGAATCACTAAAATGTGCTCCTCTGCTTGCTGTTGCCTCCATTTTAGCGTAGCCATTGATTGATTGTTCTACCGTCATCTGTTTGTGAGTTGTCATCTAAGTTTGCCGATCTTCTGGAGAGTACAAGCTAGAAGTGATATATTTGTCACCCTTAGGATGTGTGTCTAATATGTTCACACTACACAAAAATTAGCACTGGGTTTTGGTGCTTTAGTTTAGTGGTGCTTGATGCTCTTTTTGCTGCTACATCTTGTCTCTTTTTTAAAAAATATATTTTTATTGATTTCAAAGAAGAAGAGCACATCTTGTAACTCTTACTAGTAAAGGTCAGACATGCTATTTCAGGTCAGTTTTCTGTTTTGGTTAATTTAACCATGGACTGTTTAAGAAGAATTACATTATAGCATTCAGCTGGTTATTTCTGTTTAAAAATTTATGTTAAGTTTATATGTGATCTGAGTCTTTATTGGGATCATTGGTTCATCTTGTTTTTTCACATATATCTCAAGAGAATAATCTGCCCTAGCTGATTTGGTTCAGTGAATAAAGTGTCATTCTGCGGACTGGAGTGTCCTGGGTTCGATTCTGGTCAAGAACGCATGCCTGGATTGTGGGCTTGATCCCCAGTTAGGGAGCGTGTAGGAGGCATCCAATCAATGGTTCTCTCTCATCAATGATGTTTCTATCTTTTCCTCTCCCTTCTTCTCTGAAATCAGTAAAAATACTTTTAAAAAAAGAATGATCTGCCTCCAACATTTTTTCCATCACAGTTCTTATGACTTTAGATAGTGTAACCTCTTGAGTTGAGTTAGGACTCTTTCTGTTTGGCTTAACTTCACTCAAGACCAGGAAATTACTACGATACAACCCACCTGTTTAATTGTGAAGTAGCCTTAAGTAAATGTTGAGTAAAATTTGGCAAGTAGCTGGCAGATCAAGTTTTGCTTATAATATCACCTTTTGTAAGGCCTATAACAGTATATGTAGGTTTTGAAGCCGTTTATAATCAAATCATCTTAACACCTAACAGCCCTTGAAAACATGCCAAATATACTTAAGTGCTTTATGTTCATCATCCAATTTAATCCTCAGCACAACCTTATGAGGTAGATGTTGTTCTTCCCATTTTACTAACTGGGAAATCTGAGGGTTAGAAAAATTAAGTAGAGAGAAGATTCAAATTTGAGTTTGCTCTACTCTGGGCTCTCTTCACTATTAATACTAACGTTTTTTCTTCTGTGTCTTCTTAATGATTGATAGCTAAGTATTTGGCCAGCATTTTACTAGCATTAGAGATGGTGACTCTCGATAACAGTTATGGTCAATTTTGTTACCTTTATTCCAAACAGTTATGATGGTGGTGTGTTTGGTTTTTTTTAATATTTTTTATTTATTTATTTATTTATTTATTTATTTTTTATATATATTTTATTGATTTTTCACAGAGAGGAAGGGAGAGAGATAGAAAGTTAGAAACATCGATGAGAGAGAAACATCGATCAGCTGCCTCCTGCACATCTCCCACTGGGGATGTGCCCGCAACCCAGGTACATGCCCTTGACCGGAATCGAACCTGGGACCTTTCAGTCCGCAAGCCGACGCTCCATCCACTGAGCCAAACCGGTTTCGGCTTAATATAGTTTATTGATTTTTTACAGAGAGGAAGGGAGAGAGATAGAGAGTTAGAAACATCGATGAGAGAGAAACATCGATCAACTGCCTCCTGCACATCTTCTACCGGTGATGTGCCCGCAACCCAGGTACATGCTCTTGACCGGAATCGAACCCGGGACCCTTCAGTCCGCAGGCCGACGCTCTATCCACTGAGCCAAACCAGCTTCGGCAATGGTGGTGTGTTTTAACGTCTCTTTTTCCAAGGCTTTGTAGATAATGAGTTGGTACAAGCTAAAATAGCACTCCAATCTTTGCTTATTAAAGAATGAATAAGCAAGAGTTCTCTGCCAGATTTTTTTTTTATTATTGCTGTTTTATTTTTGTTTTTAAACTCTCTTTAACTGTACAGCATTGACCACTACAA